TTCAGCAGGTTGTATCTGGTGCCGTTGTCCAGCAGCGCATTGATGACCGGCTCGAACAGGTTTCCTTTCACGATGTAGCGGTTGTAATACTCGTCCTTCAGGCCGATGATTCTCCTCATGAAGCGCAGCGCACCTGCACAATCACATGAGCAGCTCACAATCATCCTGCATTACTAACGCTGCTGTGTGTGATGAGCGCTGTTACCGTCTGATCACTCAAGGCCAGCTGTTACTGAAGATCAAACGCACACACGCATGATCAGTTATCACTGTGGTTCACACTAGGGATGCACCAAATGTTAGGCAACCAACATTATTTGGCTGAAAATAGCAAAAAAAAAGCTCTTTCGGTGTTCGGCCAAATAAGCGAAAAAGACTAAATAAATTGTATCGACATTTTTGGTGACATTATCAAATAGCATACAATGGACCTGATAGACCAAATAGAGTGAGAGGCGCACTCTTTATAATGCAGCAAACACGTCAGCAGTGTGGAAGCATTTAAAACTGTCCGAGAAAGACGCAAAAATCATTACAAGCACCGACAGCGAGAGACTGTTTAGTGTCTCCGATGAGAAGAGGAAGGGTGGTAAGATAATAATGATAATAATAATTACAACAGCTCTATTAATACATTTATTATAACATTCACACAGTCTTCAAACTGGGATCTGCAATATTTCATAATGTTTAAAAATAATTATCTTCTGCTCAGCAAAGGCTGCATTTATTTGTACAGTAAAAACAAATACAAAAAACAGTTGGGATGTAACGATTCACTTAACTCACGATTCGATTTTCTCATGATTTTTTTTAACAAAATGAGATTGACGACATTATACAGTAAATGAGGTGTCGTTTTATTAGGCTATTGCTGCACGTTTCTTTGGGAAAGTGAAATAACAAAACTAAATTGACATTTTAAAACAAACCCCAAATAAAATAAGCAAGTTACACAAATAAAAGAAATCTCTTCATATAAACAAGCTAAGGTTTTGTCTGTGCTCTTTCCATTTAAAATTAGAGGCAACCACTGCATTTTAATCATGATCCAAACAAAGATGCAGCATGAGCAGTTTTTAATCTAAATTAGACTTAGTCTGAAGCAAAAACAGAATGGTCTGACTTATGTTTTATGTAGTATAGTTTCACAAAACTAATCTGAAGGAAACAGCAGACGAGCTGAATGAGACGCAGATTCACTCTCTGCCAGCAGGTGGCGCTCATGAACAGCAATGATACAGTGTTTCCTTGGTTACCGCTGTAAACAAAGCAGAGCTGCACTCATGAACAGCAGTGATACAGTGTTTCCTTGGTTACCACTGTAAACAAGCAGAGCTGCGCTCATGAACAGCAATGATAGTGTTTCCTGGGTTACCACTGTAAACAAAGCAGAGCTGCGCTCATGAACAGCAATGATACAGTGTTTCCT